TCCCGGGAAGGCTCAGGGGCCTCCACGGACGCCTGCTTGCCCGGGAGGACGCGCCTGACCCACTTTGAGTGGAGCGCGGAGACGGAACGGTGTGTGTGGCAGCTGCTCGGAATACATAATCGGGGAAGCAGCCCTGTGGGTCCTCAGCAGCCCAGACCCAGACCGAAGGGCTGCTGCACCCCAGAGCAGCGTCTATTAGAAAGAATCAGTGTTTTAATAATGCCACATGGGAAGTCCCGAGCGGGGCCAGCTGTTTGTGTTCCCAACCAGGAGGCGTCTTCTGGGGGAAGTTGGTAACGGGAGTGAAGTAATGACACGCCCTGCCCGTGTCCCAGGTGGGAACAGTCTACAGTCATCACTGGAGGGGGCTTGGGCTCTGCAGCCACAGTTGCTGGGCCTGGGGCACGAAGGACAGCACCTCTGGTTGCGTCTCTGTGTCCCTGGTCTGATGGCCACCGACAGTGAGAGAGGCAGGAGCTACAGAGGAAGCCCCGGCAGGCCTGAGCGGGGAGCCTGCCTCTCCTCCTCTCGAGCCTCCTCCGAGGCAGAGGGTGGAGGTGGTGGGCGTGTCTGGGACCAGCGCAGGTGTGGGGCAGGGGAGACTGCAGAGCCGGCGTAATGGGAATGCTCCAGGTCTCAGGGGGACACCCAGCGCCACGGCTCTTTCTCGGGGTGCTTAGGCGGTCCCTGATCTCATGGCCTGCCCGAGGGAGACTCCCTCTGAGGCCACGTCGCGGCCCTGATGGCCGACAGTCGATGGGCAGGTGTGGGGCCTGCGGATGCTCCCGGGGTGCGGGCCCTGGGCTGCAGCGCTTCCCACACGGTCCCGCTGTATCTTCCCAGCGCTCCGAGGGGGTCCTGCCTTTGCTGCCGCCAGACAAGGGACCTGGCTGGGGCAGGGCACATTCGGAGTGAACACTGTCCCCCGTGGAAGCGACGAGGGAGGAGTACATCGGGAGTGGCTGGCAGGTGTGGCACCCGGGCCAGGGCCCAAGCCGTGTGCTCGGGAGGCTTGGCTGACCTGAAGCAGCCGCCTGGGCGAACGTGGCTGGACGGCCATCGGAGACCACCCACCCTTGCACCTGTGAATTCAGTCTCCCAAACTGACCAGCCTGGTAGCCCCAGGACTTATTTCAGGAGCAAAAGAACTGAATCGACACTGGCACCTGTCATCCGTGTTCTGACATTTTCCCGGACAAGTGGCCAGTCAATGCTGTTCCCACAGCGCCAGGGTTCCTGGCTGATGGCCGAAGGCGGGCACAGGGAGAGGGGGGTTCCTGGCTGATGGCCGAAGGCGGGCACAGGGAGGGGGCTCCTGGCTGATGGCCGAAGGCGGGCACAGAGAGAGGGGGGCTCCTGGCTGATGGCCGAAGGCGGGCACAGGGAGGGGGCTCCTGGGCTGATGGCCGAAGGCGGGCACAGAGAGAGGGGGGCTCCTGGCTGATGGCCGAAGGCGGGCACAGAGAGAGGGGGGCTCCGGGCTGATGGCTGAAGGCGGGCACAGGGAGGGGGCTCCTGGGCTGATGGCCGAAGGCGGGCACAGGGAGGGGGCTCCTGGGCTGATGGCCGAAGGCGGGCACAGGGAGGGGGGCTCCTGGGCTGATGGCCGAAGGCGGGCACAGGGAGGGGGCTCCTGGGCTGATGGCCGAAGGCGGGCACAGGGAGGGGGGCTCCTGGGCTGATGGCCGAAGGCGGGCACAGGGAGAGGGGGGCTCCTGGGCTGATGGCCGAAGGCGGGCACAGAGAGAGGGGGGCTCCTGGGCTGATGGCCGAAGGCGGGCACAGAGAGAGGGGGGCTCCTGGCTGATGGCCGAAGGCGGGCACAGAGGGGGGCTCCTGGGCTGATGGCCGAAGGCGGGCACAGAGAGAGGGGGGCTCCTGGGCTGATGGCCGAAGGCGGGCACAGAGGGGGGCTCCTGGGCTGATGGCCGAAGGCGGGCACAGAGAGAGGGGGGCTCCTGGGCTGATGGCTGAAGGCGGGCACAGGGAGGGGGCTCCTGGGCTGATGGCTGAAGGCGGGCACAGGGAGGGGGCTCCTGGGCTGATGGCTGAAGGCGGGCACAGGGAGAGGGGGGCTCCTGGGCTGATGGCCGAAGGCGGGCACAGAGAGAGGGGGGCTCCGGGCTGATGGCCGAAGGCGGGCACAGGGAGGGCCCGGGAGGAGCCAGCCTCGGGCTTCTCAGCTGCCTTGAGCTCCAGGGGGCCTGCTTGGGGTGGCCCCTGCGGTCCTCCCGGCCTCATTTCAACAGATGGCAGAACAAATTCCTAATTAAGCACAAGAAAGTTTCCGGCTCAGCGCATTTATGATTTTCCAGTCCCTCTGGTACTCATTTTCCCCTTTTGTCTTTCTAGAACCCAAGCCGGCTATTGCCACCCCGAGCGCTCCCCTGGGCTGTTGGCCGGTCTGCGCCCTCGGGTGGGAGGGGAGAGGTGGGGTGTGCCGGAGGGCGGGTCCCAGGGACTCGGTGCACAGCTGCCTTTCGGGGGCAACAGGAGAAGCTTCAGTGCAGACTGACAACTTGGATCAGACCTGCGAGGACAGGGGTGCTCACTGCCCTCGGAGGAGTTCTGGAAACATCACCTGGGGTGAGCTGGGGCCAGGACAGGCCCCTCTGACGGCCGCAGACGCCCGGGCCCCGAGGAAGAGCACCCAGCGCCCTGTGCGGGGCCACGCGTCCGAGCTCCCTGGACTGGGCGCTTCTCTCTGGCTCAGGAGGGCTTTGTGTGCCAGAGGTCTGAGTGTCCCGGGAGATGACTGTGCTGTCACCCACAGAGCTCCTGGGGGACAGGCTGGCAGGAGCCACTGCCATCTGACTCTCTCGGGTCAAAGGGAGAAAAGAGCCAATGACTTGCGGAGACGGCGACGTCCAGACTGGGTCACCACCCAAACATGAGTGTGGATGCCCTTAGTGAGCTACCTCGCGCGCTCTCTGGGCCACACCTCTGGAGGCCACTGCCGCCCACTGTGTCGCTGCCTCTGCAGCGGGGCCTCAGGGGAGACCCAGAGGAGTCCCACCGAGTCCCTGTGACCTTGCTGCTCTGTGGGAGGGGCTCTACTAGGGAGAAAGGGGCAGAACAGGGTCCCCAGGGCCGGGTGGCGGCACCATGGCAAAGAGCTGTCCACTGTCTAAGTGACAGACCTACGGACTGTGCTATGGGAAGACGCCACAGCAGGCGGGAGGGGCCCCCTCTGCGCTGACCCGTCTGGGGGACCTCACAGCCTTCTCCCTGCTAGTGAGTGGACTGCTCACCAGACCAGAGGACTTCATCGACTGAACAGGCACCGCGGTGCTACAGAAGCCATTAGCTGTCATTATCCGGTGGCCACCCCCTCGTGGGCTGACATGGGAATCCATCACGCCGGCGACAGCACGGGCGTCCCCCCGCCGCTCCCCACCCTGCTCCGCCGCCTCGCCCCAGAGGGAGGGACAGGAACCAGCGTTCCCCTAGCCCCTTCCCGTCGCTAGTGCAGGTCACGCACAGCCAATCCTGAGCAGGCAGGGGCCGACTGTCAGGACTTTGGGACATGGTTGCTGGGACAACAGATTAAGTCAGGGAAATGAGGAGGGAGGTTTTTCTCCAAATACTGCTTTACTGAGAAGACCCCTGAAGGTCACTCGGGCTTTCAATACTTCCTGTAAGCAGACCTATGAGGGGAGGGTGGTTCTGACCCCTGCTGATCCGGGCCTTTCGGACACGGTCCCTCCTGGCACCCAAGGAGGCGCTCTTCCGACACCCTGCCCTTGGACTAGCGCGATCCCCGTGTTCTAAGCTATGGGCTGTCCTGTTGTCCCAGGCGGTCACGTTCCTTTAGTCCAGGGCTGTGGAGCTGGTGAACGGAACGTGAACACAGCACCCGTGGTAGGGACAGGCTCAGACCCACTGACGGGCAATCAAGGACTCTTGCCCTGTCCAGGCATGGAGCAGGTGTCCTCTGTCCCCTCGTCTCCATGGACGTCACGTTGCAGAGGCCCCACCGCAAGGAGGGACCGAGAGTGGGGAGAAGTGACCGGCGGGCGGGTCTGGCTCAGGCCGAGGCCGAGCCCCCTGCACTGACGGCCCCTTGCGTCGCAGGGGGCCTGCCCCAGTCGTGAGCTCCTGTCCACGCGCCCTCGGGGTGGGCTGGCCTGGATGACGGCCCGTCCCTTCCCCCCCCGAAGACGCCAGGGCTCCTGTGAGGCAGCGGCTCCTCACGCTGGGGGACTGGAGGAGCCAGAACTGCCGGACTCGTTTGGACCAGAAACTGACTCGTCACGACTGAGCGCTGAGTGCGGGCTGCATGAGGGGCAGTGTGCACCCGAGCCCTGCGGGGTGCACGCCCGGGAGGGGGGCTGGGAAGGGGTCAGGGAGGGGGCGGCCCAGCAGAACGGCAACAGCATCGCGCTCACGTCAAACAAGCCTGCCGAGCCCAGTGCGCATCCCGCCCACGCCGGCCGGAGCCCACCCCCTCCTGTCCTGGACAGGGGTCCGCAGCCTGGCCCCTCTGGGTGGCCGGCAGGATGCTGCGGCACAATGAACGAGCCCCACCGCATGTATGGTCTAGGGGGAGACACCCCGAGGGGAGCGGTGCTCCTGCTCGCTCGGCGGGAGGCAGTTAGAGGGCACCGTGGACGAGGCGTCTTTCACACCCTGGTGGCTGGGGATGCGGCCGCCATGGCCCACTGGTTTTATGGCACACTCTACTGAGCAGAGCCCTGACCCAGACCTCAGGGCCCAGCCTCCAGCCTGCGGGTCCGTGGGGACCCCCTGGGCGTGTGAAAAAGGCTGTTCCAGAATCGCAGGCCTCGCCCAGCTCTGTCCACATAAGGTGACCTTGAAGTGCCTTGGCGTTCCGGGCACTAAATCTCCCCAGCAGTAAGAAGGCAGGCACAGCACCCCCTCCTCCTTGCCCCCCGGAGCCCACAGAAACCCGCACCACACTCCAGCTTCGGCCACGAGCTGCCCGGCTGTCTCAGGAAGGGGCGGGGGGAAGCGTAGACGGTGATGCTTCTCAGACTCACCGATCCATCTCATCAGGGAGGTCAGGATCTGCAGGTACTTGGTCTTCTGGACGTCAAAGAAAGTGAAGGGTCCCAGGAGGAGAGTGAAGACAGCCTGGGCAACAGAAACAGGAGTGAGGGCCCGGAGGCTGGCTGCACACGGCACGCCATGTGTGGGGACACGCTGCGCACGCCGCCTCTGCCCGGGCCAGGTCCGTCCTCACCCAGGGGCCCGGAGGCTGGCTGCACACGGCACGCCATGTGTGGGGACACGCTGTGCACGCCGCCTCTGCCCGGGCCGGGTCCGTCCTCGCCCAGGGGCCCACAGGCTGGGCTGCACACGGCACGCCATGTGTGGGGACATGCTGCGCACACCGCCTCTGCCCGGGCCGGGTCCGTCCTCGCCCAGGGGCCCACGGACTGGGCTGCACATGGCACGCCATGTGTGGGGACACGCTGCGCACGCCGCCTCTGCCCGGGCCGGGTCTGTCCTCACCCAGGGGCGCTGGACGGGCAGGGGCTCCCTCGGGGTTCCAGTGTCACGGTGCACAGAGCCCCGAGACCTGTTTCTCTGCCGCCCCTCACACCAACTGTCCCGAGACTCCTGCAAAGGTATTTCCAGGCAAGTCTCAGATAATACCCCAGGGACATCGCCGGCTCACGTCTCCTCGGCAAACACTGACTCAGGATTCACGGCCCAGCGCTGGGCTGGGCACCAGGCACGCCTCGCGCACCCACCGCTTACCTGGGAGAAAGGACGCAGGAGGGACCCAGGGGTCCTGACCATGCAGTGGGGGAGGGGACACCACTCTGAAGGGTTTGGAGGAAGGATCCGGCAGGATGTTGTTAACCAGCAATGTTTTTTACTTACAGGGAACGGGAAGCGGGGAGAACCCAGCCAGAGGCTTCTGGGGCAACTCCCTCCGAGAAACACCCCAGACCAGAACAGCAGGGGCTGCGCCCGGGGAGCAGGCGCGGAAGGTCTGGGGGTGGGTGGGGGTCCGGCCCGAGGCGGGGCACTGACAGCACCTCGCTTCTCTCTCTTCGGAGGGTGAATATTTACTTTAAATAGAAAAATCCCAAACCTGTAAGAAAAATCTTACACACTGGTCTGTGGGAAATGTGAGTCCTCTTTGCAGAAGGAACCAGGGTGAACGAGGCTCAGCAGACTGGGGCCGGGAAGGGGGAAGGCTGGGGTCTCCGTGCCAAATCGGGTGCTCAGGGAGCAGAGGGATTAGAAGCCGCTGGTTGGAGTTACGATGATGGCGCCATTTCCAATCTGCCACTCGGAAGCAGCAGAGGCATCAGACCTTATTAACATTTACACTGTGCCATTTTATCACGCGGATGCTAATGACGCTCACCAGAGATGCGGCAGACAGCTTGGAAGCCTGGATGTGGGGAGCCGGGCCCGCTCTGGGGAGCCGGGCCCTGATCCCGTGATGGGTGAATGTATCGGTGAATGTATCACAGCTGCTGGGTCTGGCGGCCAGTCCCCCAGCTGGCTGCCCTGTGACAGGCAGGCAGGAGCCCCATGGAGGGGGCTGACCCGTCACTCCCCCGCCCCCGTCACAAGGAGAGCAGGATGTGGAAGCTGTGACCTCTTATCCAAGTCCATTATCCCCGTGAGAGCGGATGACGGAAGGACTGAAGTGCTGGCTTAAGGAGAAGCCACTAATTAGTTGGGTGGCAGGGCCTGGCGGTCGCCGGGGCTGGGAGACTTCTGCCCAGGCCACGAGCTGCATCTGCGTCTCTTCAGGACATGGGGGTGGACAAGCGTCCCCCCCAGGCCAGGAGCAACTGGGGAGGCACAGGAAAGGGGCTGTCGGGCAGCCCTCAGGGATCCCCTCAGGCCCGGGAAGGGGCAGAATCTCCCCCCTTTGCCAAGCGCGACTGTGTGGCACCATCAGCACGTCATTCAGGAAAATTCCCGCTTCAGGGAGACTTTCCATCGGTGAATTTCTCCTCTGAGGGACGGGAGAGCAAGATGCCACGTGGAAGAAGACACGTGAAGCCACTGGCCACAAGAGTGCCCAAGTAGCCGTGGCCTGACCGAAGCTGGACTCCAGGTGTTCCGCCTGTGACCTGCGACGCCTCCCACTGAAAACGTGGTGCCAGCTGTGGGTGCTGGGACTGTCCCTGGGGGTGGCCCACGTGGCAGGTCAGCTCTCATCTGGGAAAGCTGACGCCTGCTCTTCAGAAGGTTCTGCTACGGAAACACGGGAGCAGAGCCTGCCCGCGGGCCGGCAGGCAGGGGATCCGCCTCTGCAGGTTGCAGGGCCCTTCCCTCCAGGGTCCTGTCTCTGAAGCCAAGTCCATTTTCACCCTCCTCCTTGGCTGGAGATCCTGCCACCCAGGAGGCCCGTTTTGTGAAACCCTGTCGGGCGCGACCCCAGCTCCCCAGAGCATCCCTCTGTGTACAGAGACCAAGCGTAGCTGACGAACAAACAGACCCAGAGACGGGGAAGCAGGGAACAGACCGACAAACCTCCGAGGGAAGGGGGTGGGAGAGACACCCCACAGAACTGACATGCGTATCGACACAACCCACGGCCGCAGCAGCACGCGGTGAAGGCCGAGGGAGGGCGTCGATGAGGGAAAACGAGGGGCATCTGTCGTAACACCTTCCGCAGTAAAGATAAGTTTAAACAGTAAGTGAGCAGATGAACTGCACGGACACATCCCGAGAAGCAGAGTAAGAACTGCTGTGTCGCCCAGCTCAGTGACGGGGACAGTCAGACGAGGCCCCCCCGGCCTAGCTTAGGGGCGGCAGGTCCACCCTCAGTGGGAGCAGGTGGTGAAGGGCTCCTGGATGACTCCTTCGCTCCACAGCTGCGACAGCCGTGGCCACATGGCAGGTGGGATGTGGCTTCTTTTCATCGCTCAGGACCAGAGACTGACCGTGCCACGCAGGAGGGTGCAGGGCCACCCAGAGGAAAGGCGCCGGGCAGCCGGCTCACGTGTCACAAGGCCCAGACCCACACGCGCCACAGCTGGGCTACCTGTGGAACAGGTGTCCTCTGCACATTAGCGAGCGCCGGACTCGGCAATGGCAGGGGCCTCCGGCTGGGAGCCGACAGGATTCAAAGCAGCGGCAAGCGGCATGGCTGTCCCCCACGGGCTGTGCAGTCTCTGGGAAGAGAGGGGGCGCAGGAGACCAACGGCCCTGTGTCCCGATGGTCTAGTGTGGACAGAGCGCATCTCTGAACGCTGAACAACCCACTGTGGCCCCTTCTGGGTTCCCTTCCCTTTTTCAAAAAGAAGCAATGAACAGCCAAGCGACTGCCTATCCTCTTGGGTCTTCTCATCTGGCCTATGCGACATTGCGCTGAGGGCCGGGGCTCGGATTTCTCTATTAACAGGGTGGTGAAGCAACACGTCTCAGAAGGTGGCGTGGTGACGTGCCGACCTGCGGGCCCACGGCGGGACAGGTGCGGCTCGGGGGTGGGGCCGCTCAGGCGGAGAGGGCAGTGTGCCAGCGGACAGCACCGCGGGGCCCTGGACGGCCCCTGGTCACTCTTCGTGGTAAAGGAGACAGATGCCCAGACGACAGGGCGGTCCTTGTCGGGAGCTAGGGGCTGAGAGTTAATTGGGGTTAATGACAGCGCAGCAGGAACACAACCCTACGTGGGAACCAAACTTTCCACACGTCCTTGAAGTGCAAGGAGTCTATTTTTATTTCTCAAGTGGCTCTGAACATTTCGGGTTGGGAGTTATTTTCTCAACTTGAGTGACAACATCTGGGACTTCATCCACAGGAAGAGGTGAGTTTCGAGGCAGCGAGGACGCTGGAGGGACCACGGGCTCAGGGCCCCGTGTACCGGGTGGGGGCTGCGGTCGCCCCGCTGACCGTGAGGCCCCGGAGCCTTGCGCGTGTGCAGGAGGTAGTCGTGAGCACCAGCCCGGCCGCCTGACCCCCAGGGTCAGCACACACCCAGGCCAGCACACCTGTCTCCCAAACGTCCAGGTGTTACGTCAGTGCTATTACTATCGGACTCCACGCTCTCCACCCAGGTTCAGCAGCAGTCCAGATGGTGTTCAGGGGGTTCACGTCCTCCCGACCGAACAACTGTGAGAGAACAAGAACGGGTGCTGGGTCTGAAGCCCAACGTGCCATCGCCACAGCTGATTGGCCAGAAGGGGCACCGCTGGCTAGAGAAGGCCATCTGAAGGAGGTCGCCTGAGCTCCACAACACCCCCACAGGGCAGGAGATGAGGGGGGATCCTCTAAAGGCCCAGCCCAGGGCTGGGTGACCCTGGGATGTGAGGAGCTGTGGTGGGAGGGGGCTTCTGCCCAGACAGACACCAAACCAGCCACGATGGAGACACGGCCAATCTCTCGGCTGCCGACCCCTCGAGTACTGTCTCCCCGGTGGAGAGTGAGTGGTGAAGACGGCCGGCCGGACTGACAGCCTCCGAGCACACTCACCCACTCGGCAGCCTCGACTCGTGTCTCCCAACACCTCCCAGCAGGCTCTGCTTAGAGCGAGTTACCACGGCGCCTCGTCCCTGGGTCCCACCTCCCTCCAACCCCACCTACACGGCACTTAGGAGATGCTTCCCGAGTGGATTAAATGACCGGGTCTGGTGACGCCGACAGATGTCTGCTCACGTCAAACAAGTCAGCCCACTCTGAACGACTGTGGGGACACTAATGCCATCGGCGCCCCTGAAAAGGCGAGTCTCTGCTAGAAGACACCGAGTCCCCAGGAGAAGAGATGCTGAGACCCCGCGAGAGGAGGGTGCTGAGTCCCCAGGAGAGAAGGTGCTCATTTCCCAGGAGGGCGCTCAGCAAAGGCAGTGATGAGCCGGAAGGTGTAGACCCCTGCAGTGGGCAGTAGAGCAGCCCGAGCTACAGGACAGAGGTGAGAAACCTGACCCAGAAAGCAGGGGCTCAACAGCTGGGCCCGCCCCTGGGCTGGGGACTGGACCCAGGAGCCTGATGAACTGGGCAGTGGAGGAAGTCCCGGGGCAGCTTCTCCACTGATGCAGACGGGCCAGCGAGGCGATACCTCGGCAACCTCTGGAAATGCTGGTGGAAATGTCACCGGGGAGTCTGAGAAGCTGACGGGAGAAAACACGGAAGGGGAGGCGGCTGTCTTTTACCTGCTGCTG